ATAATAGAAATAAAAGGTGTGAGTGGGGCGGAACTTCGATAGTATGTACTTTTAAAGTACAGATATGGCTATTTACTGTAGGTATAAATGTGTACCTTATGCTCCAGTGACAGCTTTTGTACATTACCTTGCTTTATACCAGAAATCAGATCTATGCAAATAACATATGACATGCAAGTTCATATTTGGACTTCACATCCATAAGTATGTCATAAATCAGTGCTTCCCACACATAGACTTTACTTGGGCGGGCCGCCCAGTAATATTAATGCCACCCAAGTGTATTTGTTGGTGACACATGAATAATACTATTATTATCACTCTTTTACACTTTTTTGTATCCGCACAAGAAAGCCAAAAATTTTTGATCGATTAACCAGTGGAAAATCTTCTCTCGCTCTGCACCATACCTACTGCTGGTTCTGTGTTCATGAGACCTGTCAACACTTACATGCTCTGCAAACCCACAGATGCACCAAATGGCATACGGCCGCAGTTTCTGAATCTCCTATAATATCTGGGATTCGGCTTTCTAAAGTTGTCGTTTTTATATGCGTTTTTGCATTACCTTTTCGCAGCTGACTGCGCGCGCACAGCCGCAGGAGAAACATTAAATGATTAATAAATTAATAAACGACTCAGTTAAATTTACTATATCATCGGAGAGAACAAAATGACATCTATACTGGCTGCAGAATATTTGTACGCCATTAGAAATGGTTATCAACTAATTTGCCTTATTTAAATAATTTACACTTTTTATTCTTGTAATTATTTCAATTTTTAGCAATATTGTCTATTTTTATTCCCTTTTTTGTTATTTATTACTCATTTGCTGTATAATTTATTAATTTAATGATGTTAATATATTACGTATATTACATACTTTATATCAACCCAGGCTCATTGTGGAAACCTTTCTGGAGGCCGCGAAATACGTCCCGGGAGATCCCGATTTTGACCGCATTTTCGGATTTCTCCGCATTCTCACCCCATCACGAACTCGTTCGCTTTTATTTTTTTGGCTCGTGAATCTTATGAGCTCAGGGCTCTCTCCCGGGACAGCATCCCAAACAAGCTTTATGATCAATCATCAGCTAAATGTGAACTCTTGAAATAATTAATCAATGTATTTTGAAGTGTCAGCGATATCAGTATTGTGCGTGTTCATTATCACAAAATATTGAGCTATTGAATATCGGCATATGTCTAGTTTGGAGCAAGTGAAGGATGAAATTTTAGGGTGAACTCTCTAACCTTACAGGAAAATGTTCATAACTTTGTGAATGTTAGCTAAAGTTCTGGCTGTTCCCATCTAGCTGGGTTTGAGTTTCTCTTGTGCTCATTTGTTGCTGTTGGCCTGTTTTCAGACTTGAGAACTGATTTACCAGAGTAAGCTGATTGTCCGTATGCACTCTGCTCATGGCGTTTCAGCCCAGGAAAGAATTACATTTACACCAGACAATGTTAGCACAGCAGCAACGTATAGTCAAAAACGCACAATGATACTCGCCGTTTTACGGATGGTTTCTTGCATTACCACATCACATTACCTGTTAGCGTGGTGCATAGGTGGAAACTTCATTGAGACGGTGGAGTTCAGTGTGAAGTTTAATTTCACGCAATATATTCTGTTTCCTTTCATACTTTTATCCTCTTTTTCTCTCTGACAGACGGTGGTGTCTTTCAGCAGCAGTCTCTTTTTTTAGTCCCTGCAGTGACCTTGTATTAATAAGTGTGCATTCATTTGTTGTCTTAAATTAATGAGTGAATAAAAGCATTTTGTTTTAATTATTTTTAAGCCTAGTATTATTAGCCTCCTTCAGAAGTATTTTTTAGGATAGTCTACAGAGCAAACCACTGTTGTCCAATGACGCCTAATTAACCAAACTTTCCTAATTATCTAGTTAAGCCTTCAAATTACAGAAAATATCTTAAAATTATATCTTGAAAAAAAATTGTAGAATAATATGTACCGTCATCATGGCAATGACAAAATTGTTTATACCACGAAATTAGTTATAAGAAATTGCTAGGAATAATATTAATAATACAAACTTGAATGAGTTTTTTATCATGCAACTTTTTTTATTTAGTGATGAAAAAAAGTGGCCATTCACACAGAATGTGTTTTTGTTCTGTTGTGCTAATTTTAGCACTATACATTTTCAATCTCAATAATGAGTATGTTTACATGGACAGCAAAAATCTGCGATTAAGACAATACTCTGATTAAGAGTTAACCATGTCAACAGCGATTTTTGATTAATTTAATCTGATTAAGGCAACCCGGGCTCATTGTGAAAAACGTAGCCCCACGGACGTTTCTTAGGACCGCGATTTACGTCCCGGGAGGTACGTATTGGAGCGGTTTTTGTTTTCGGGGATCCGCGAGAGGCCGCTGTGCACGCTTTTTCACGTCTTGGGCGCCTCGGGAGAGCGCCCCGTTCGCGACTGCGCCGTTCTCGCGCGAAAAGCCGCCGGATCGGCCGCCCTCCTCCTCCTTTCCTAAACCCGAGCGACGGTTCGCAAAAGCCGTCCAGAAAAAAAAAAGCAAAAGCCCTCGTCTTCGATTTCGACCGCGTCTTCGGATCCCGCCGCGTTCTCCCCCTTATTTTTCGGATTCCGTTTTTCGTCTTACCTGATTTCCGGAACCGCTGTTCCCTGTACTCGATCCCGGTCGTCGTCCCCGCAGCCGGCTCTTCCTCCTCCGGGGCCTCCGCTCCGCCGACGCATTGATGTGAGCTAAGCGGACAAACTGGTTGCGTCGGGAAAGCCCTCGGCCGGCGAGCGCGAAGAGGAGGGGCGGAGCGGCGCCACACCTCCCCGCAGCATTCGCTCGAAAAAAACTAAATGCAGCCTTACGTACCTCCTGCCACATGAATTGCGGTCTCCAGAAACGTCCGCGGGGCTACGTTTCCAGAACGTGAGCTTGGGTTGGATTAAGGTCATAATCGAACTAAAGAGAAATCGAATTAGGATTTGTGGATTATGCTGATTTTAGTACCATTATTGAAGTGCAACACAGACGTGTAAACACCTTAAACTATTACCGTCATGTAGGACTTTCCAAAGACATGCGGTACAGGTGAATTGGGTAAGCTAAAATTGTCCGTAGTGTATGGATGTTTCCCAGAGATGGGTTGCAGCTGGAAGGGCATCCGCTGCATAAAACGTATGCTGGATAAGTTGGCGGTTCATTCCGCTGTGGTGACCCCAGATTAAAAAAGGGACTAAGCAGAAAAGAGAATGAATGAATAAACTATTTTTAAAAATAAAACCTCATAAATTACAATATCAAAAGTCACAATTAATTGATTTTAGCACTATACAGTTTTAATCTCGATATTGTTATCCACCTTAAGATTTTGATTGTCTACAGAACAAACCACTACTGTTAAAATAAGTGTGCATTAATTTGTGAATTTTCCCAGTACATGGTTGCTGCTGGAAGGGCATCTGCTGCATAAAACATAAGCTGAAATAGTTGGCGGTTCATTCCGCTGTGGTGATCCCTGATAAATAATCGACTAAGCTGAAGGAAAATGAATGTCTGAACAATTCGTATATTGGAATTAATTTAATTAATTAAAAATGTTAAAAGAAATTTTAAGGTCAATACTACTAACCGATTGTCTACGATAAAAACCACTGTTTTCCAATAACTTGACTAAATTACCAAACTTTCCTAATTATACTAACCTAATTAACCTAGTTAAGCCTTTAAATATCTAAAAATGATATCTTGCAAAATAAATAGTGAAATGTTATGTACTGTCATCATAGCAAAGACAAATTAAATTAGTAATAAGAAATTGCTTGGAATAATATAAATATTAGAAATAATACAAACTTTCAATTTATAATTGTACACACAATTTCGACATCTAATGTCACAATTTTGAGAAAACAGTCAGATCTATGAGTTTTAGCATGCAATTCTAAGAAAAATATTGTTTAAAACAATTTTCAAGAATAAAACCCTATGAATTACAATAGCAAAAGTCACAATACATTTTTTTTTATTTAGTGATGAAAACAATCATATTCATATGAATGTGTTTTTGCTCCATTGTGTTGATTTTAGCGCTACATAAATGTGTTCAACTTTTGTTTCACACTTTCATCCTCATTTTCTTGCAGCATCAGTCTCTCTTTCTCGTCCCTGCATTGACCTTGCATTGATTTGCGTGCATTCATTTGTGATCTTTCCCAGTACTGGGTTGCGGCTGGAAGGGCATCCGCTGTGTAAAACATGCTAGAACAGTTGCTGGTTCATTCCGCTGTGGTGATCCCTGATAAATAAGGGACTAAGCCAAAGGAAAGTAAATGAATAAATAATTTGTGACTTTGAATTATGAGTGAATTAAAGCTTTTTTTTTTTTAAATAAGTTTTAAGATCAATATTACTAGCCAACTTTAATTGATTGTCTACAAAACAAACCACTGTTGTGCAATAACTTGCCTGATTAACCAAACTTTCCTAGTTAACTTAATTAACCTAGTTAAACCTTAAAAATATAGAAAATATCGTAAATTTATATTTAGAAAAATAAATATTAAAATATTATGTACTGTCATGGCAAAGACGAAAGAAATTAGTTATAACAAATTGTTAAAAGTAGCATAAAAATGAACAATAATACTAACTTTTAAAAAGTTTTTATCATGCAATTTTGAGAGAAAAAAAAGAGTTGTGAGTTTTAAACATTTACGAGAATAAAAACCCAGAAATTACGAAATAAAAAGTATCACTAATAAGTAATAACTTTTATTTAGTCATGGAAAGAAGAGGCCTTTCACACAGAATGTGTTGATTTTAGCACCATACTAAAGTCTTCACCTTTTGTTTCCTTTCATACTTTCATCCTGATTTTCCCTCTGAAAGTCTCTCAGCATCAGTCTCTCTTTCTCGTCCCTGCAGTGACCTTGTATTAATGAGTGTGTGATTACGAGTCAGTTGGGCTTTCAGCTCGCTGCCTCAGCGCAAATACACAAACAATCCCTCCCTCCACACACACACACATACACATATGCATTCAGTCTGTCGCTCTCACAGATACCATTAGCACGGCTCTAGTGGATATAGAAAGCTAGGGATAAAAAGAGAGAGGAAGCAAAAAGGTGGAATTAGGAACAAAAACCAAACTATTCCTCAGACTACAGGTACGTAACTTTAAACCTCTGTCTTGAATTTTAGAGCCGCTGTAATGCCGTGACTTTGACGCTAAAACAAGGTTTCAGGAAGAGCTTGTTGTTTTTTTCCTGGGAGAAAAACGTGCGCTCAGATCCTGCTCTTCAGCATCGTCTCTCTGTCGCTCTCGCTCTCTCGTTATTTCTGAAGTACGCCGGGGGATGAAAGGCTGAGATAAATGCTGTTTTTCTGCCGTCTGAGGCCTTCGCTGGTGCTCAGCAGCGGCCGACTGAACCGTGTCACTCCACTGTCTGGGTTTAAACCGTCAGAAATCTCTTCCTGTGTCAGGAAATCTGAGGTCAGCTGCTGTTTGTGACCTCAGAGTCATATAAAAGTAATGAAAGTGTTTCTGCTGTGTTGGTTGTTGGAGAGGATGATTGAAGCCCACAGGCTGAATCTCAAGAAAGCCTCAGATTGAATGCACATAGTATTTTGCGTTAAGAAATTTTGAATGCTCACTGGAAGTTGTGCTATTACTGTCATTTGTATTTTTACTTCACAGTGAAGTCATGTAAAAGTAATGAAAGTGTTTCTGCTTTGTGGTTGTCGAAGGGGAAGCTTGAGAAAACTTGCTGGAAATGTCATCATGAATGAAAGCTCACTAGAAGTTAGTTGATTGTACGATTACTGTCGTTTTATTTTACAGATAAGTACTGTAATGCAAATTGTTTAGTATTTTATTCATTTAATTTTCCTTCGGCTTAGTCTCTGATTTGTCTGGGGTCACCACAGCAGAATGAACCACCAATTACTTCAGCAAATACCCTTCTGGCCACAACCCAGTACTGGGAAAGTTTAATATTTTAACTTAATTATATATAATACATTTTTTTTTTGTGTTATTTAATGTTTATAATGTGCCGCTGCTCTTTGTGACCTCAGAGTCCTATAAAAGTAATGAAAGTAGTTCTGCTGTGTTCATTGAAGAACAGAGGCTGAATCTCATGGAAAAATGTGGGGAATAATATTTCATTATTTTTAAATCATTTTTAATTTAATAGTATCACCTCAAATTTAAAGTATATAATATTTTGTGTTAAGAAAATATAGACCTAGTTTTATATTTTGTAGTATTAAACTGAATCATTCACTCATTCCAGATAGTTGTTTGTACTATTACTGTGATTTGTACACAAAGTACTGTAATGCAGTGTATTATATTATAATTAGATTTACAGTAATAATAGTTTTGAATATTTTTGTGTTGGAGTAAATGAATATGTTTAATTAATTTGAATTCTGATTTGCTTTATATTGAACTATTTTGATTAGTCAATCAATCAAGATCAATTTTTATTAGATTAGTTACTGTAGTATGTCGTCTCTTGTATTAAAAATGATAAATATTATTTTTTATTATAATGTTCAGCCACTGTTTGTGACCTCACAGTCATAAAGTAATGAAAGTGTTTCTGCTGTGTGGTTTAAGGTAACATGCTGAAAATATCAAATTAAAAAAGTAAATATTATGTAATTAATAAGATTTTGAATGGTCACTAGAAGTTATTTGATAGTACTATTACTTTAATGTGTACTTTTATTTTATAGTAAAGTACTGAGAAAAAGGTTTTAGATTTTAATTTTAAATGTTTTAAATTTGTCTTTATAATAGATTTTATTATATTTGCTATGCATGAAAGGCAGTGTATCGTATTAAATATTTTTACAGTAATTATTAATTATATCTTTATTAATATGTTTACAAACAGCGTGAGTCATATAAAAGTCATGAGTTCAAGTTTTTGTTTTGTGATTCACCTTAAATTGAAAGCAAATAATATTTAATGTTAAGAAATTTTAAATGCTCACTGAAAGTTAGTTGATTGTGCTTTTTTCAAATTTTTATTTTACAATAAAGTATTGTAATGCAAAATGTTTTAGATTTTAAATGTCGAATTTGTCTTTATGATTAGTAAATATTATATCATAGATTTTATTATATTTATAATATTTTTATTTATATTATATTAAATTTCCCAGAGATGGGTTGTGGCTGGTAGGGCATCCGCTGCGTAAAAACTTGCTGGATAAGTTGGCGGTTCATTTCGCTGTTGCGACCCTGGATTAATAAAGGGACTAAGCCAACAAGAAAATAAATGAACATTATATTAAATATTTGTGTTATATTAAACTTTATTTTGCATTACAGTAATTTTTATAGTAAAATTACAGTAATTTTTTTTATGTTTAATTTTCATTTGATTCTAATACTATTACTAATTACTAATATATATATATATTTTTGCATTACAGTCATAAATATTATTTAATATTTTAAACTTAAGTTAGATTTTTAATTTGAAGTATTTAATATAATACTATTGATATGATAAGAAACCATTTTTGCATTACTGCAATTATAGATTACCTGTAAATACAATTAGCTTTCATCAAAATAATATAGAAAATAAAAAATGGTATTTTGTTATTCTATATATTGTTAGCGTTAAAATAATTTAAATTTGTATATATAAAATTTTGTATACATTGTTAACAGATATTTCACAACAGATATGTGTAATTTAAAATCTTTTTTGTTTTCTTTCGATTTTAAGAGTGAAATTTCATATGTTCCAACCAATTTCCATGAGATTCACTCTTTAATATTTCTTGGTGTTTTTTCTTTACCTCTCGGATGGGATGATGTAAATGACATTGTTATTCAGGAAAGCGTGCACTTCTTGTACAAACTTCAAAGCGCTTCCTTGTAAAAGCATTTAAACAGGTTTGCTGTGGTCCAGCTTTTATCAGTCCGGCCCACATCTGTGTGTGAACATCCCCTCTGGGGCGACGGAGAGAGAGAGAGATCAAGTAAAAGAGCTGAACGCAGAGTGTTTTACCTTCCACCTTATCAGCATACATCTCATGCTCCTCCCTTCCTCGCAGTGACAGGTGAAAACCTTTCTGGAAATCTCTGCGGCTTACGTCTGCTGTTTTCTGCTGCTTCTTTTGAAAGCATCTTGTGCATGGGGGTGTGTTGTCTACATTCAGACATACACATATAGGGCATGTGTTTGGGGATGTGTGTGTTTTAGAGAGGCCGTTTTTCCCAGGGTGGTGTGTGTGAAGTGGGTCGTTCCTGACTGGAATGAGAATAAGCGGGGTGCCGTGCGACCCTGTGAGCTCTAAGCATCGGGCCTCAACGCCTTTGCTGTTGCCATAGTTATCGGTTAACCTATCAGAACCAGTCCTGCTCAACCGATCAGCCACATGTCTGCTGGTTTAACTGATACTGCTCCAGTTTTTGCACATTTGCACCAGGCATGTTCTTACACACACACACAAATTCATTATGCATTTATGAAGCGTGAGGGCGAGGGCAACACAGTGGCTCAGTGGTTAGCACTGTCGCCTCACTGCAAGAAGGTCACTGGTCCCGACTGGGCCAGTTGGCATTTCTTTGGAGTTTGCATGTTCTCACTGTGTCAGTGTGGGGGCTCCGGTTTCCCTAACAGTCCAACCACATATGTTATAGGCAGATTGAATAAACTAAATTGGCCTTAGTTTATGAGTGTGTGTGTTAATGAGTGTATATGGGTGTTTCCCAGTACTGTGTTACGGTTGGAAGGTCATCCCCTGCGTAAAACGTAGGATGCAATAGTTGGTTTATTCCGCTGTGGCAACCCCTGATAAATAAGGGACTAAGTCAAAGCTAAATGAATATGAAGTGTGCCTCACACAGGTGAGTGGGCTTGACAAACCACCTGTAAAAACACTCTTAACTCCCCTCTCGAAAATAAAAACACTCCCTCATGCATTTAATTCTCTGAGCACACAATTTCTGTGTGTATTGCCTCTTAGTGTTGATTTGCAGAATCTCCTCAATTGTAGGTCGCTTTGGTCAAAAGTGTCTGCCAAATGACAATCTAAATGTCTCTTTGTGATTTTGCCCTGAAGTTTAATCAAGTTGTTGATTGTTAAAGGTGGAAAGTAAGGGATGCACAATGCTTAATGTTCTTACATTACTTACATCTTGCCATAGTTATTGGTTAATCCATCCAAACCAGTCCTGCTTAACTGATGTCATATTCTCCTGAAGTTAAATCAAGTTAAGCAAGCTAAACTGCCGCTCTAGGCAAAGACCGATCACGCCGCCCTCAACTCGAAAGTGACCGGTTATCAAAGTGAAGACCAGGTGGTGAGGGAGGTGTGGCGGACATAACTGATGACATGGGTGGTGAGGGTGATGTTGCGGACGCCGCCCTCTATATTCTGCCACCCTAGGCAGCTGCCTAGGTCGCCTCTATTTACGCGCCGGCCCTGGTTGTGACTCAATAATTAAGGTGGAAAGTAGGGCTGAACATTCCCCAATATTCCCCAATCTCGACATAGTTAACGGTTAATCTATCAGTACCAGTCCTGCTCAGCTGATCAGCCACGTCATTTTGTCCTGAACTTAAATCAAGTTGTTGACTTCATTATGAAGGTAGGACTGCACAATGCCTTATTGTCTTACACTTTGTTACATAGTTTTTGGTTAACCTATCAATACCAGTCTTGCTCAGCTGATCAGCAGCATATCTCTCTGTGATATTGTGCTGAAGTTAAATCAAGTTGTGCCTCCATTTTAAATGTGAAAAGTAGGGTTGTGCAATACCTAATTGTATTACATCTTGCCATAGTTTTGGGTTAACCTATCAAAACCAGTGCTGCTCAACTGATGTTGCTTTCTCCTAAAGTTAAATCAAGTTGTGACTTTATTGTGAAGTGGGGCTGCATAATGGAACCATTTATGGAACCAAGACTTGTAACGCGTTTAACGGTCATCAGCATCTTAAATCCCTGAAAGTTTTTAATATTTAGATTTTTTTTTAAATATTTTAACGCTTATATTTGTATTTAAACATGTATAATATAATCTTTGCATAAAAAAAAAAAAAAAAGAATTACCGCTTCTAATGCAGAGTGAATCGGGAATGACAGTAAATTTGACATGTTTCTCTTCTGGCTGCCGTCATTAGTCTAACACTTT